AGGTGGGGGGGAGAGGGGGGTGACTCGGGAATTAAAGTGGAATATTATTTGTATCGGAGCTGACAGCTCAGACTGCCGATCGCTTCAATATGCCCCACGTGGGTCCTTACGCACGTGTTTGTACACAGCCTTGCGTATCACACACGCACGCACGCACTGCACCGCACTGCACAGTGCAATGCATACCTAGTGTAGGTAGGTGTATGGATGGATAGGCAGGTGTGTGTGTGTGTAGATGAGGAGTGGAGTGGATATGGGTAGCCAGGGGAGTAGGTAGGTGGGTGTATGGGTAGGTAGGTGTTTGTATGGGTGGGTGGGTAGGTGGGTGTATGGGTAGGTAGGTGTTTGTATGGGTGGGTGGGTAGGAGGGTGGGTGTATGGATAGGTAGGTGTGTGTATGAGTGGATATGGGTAGGCAGGAGAAAATGTAGGTGGGTGTATGGGTAGGTAAGTGTATGTATAGGTGGGTGGGTAGGTAGGTGTATGGGTAGGTAGGTAGGTGTTTGTATGGGTGGGTTGCCGAGTGGATGGGCAGGCAGGGCAGTGGGTAGGTGGATGCATGGGTAGATAGGTGAGTGTTCGGTTCGGCGGGTAGGTAAGCATGTAGATACGTGGATGGGTGGATGTTTAGGGGAGCAGTGGTATCGTGTTGATTTGAAGCTTTCGTGACTCCAGGAATCCATACTCTTTGGTTCTTTCGGTAAAGTCACGTGGGTAGAAATTAAATAAATCACGACGTTTCGCACGCAACCCAAGCGCCCGTCTTCAGGTGAACATCGTGGACAAGGGAGCAGGCATCGTGATGCTCGCAGCAGATGTCACAGCTGTCGCGATTATCAACCTGAGGACGTGCGCTTGTGTTGCGTTCGAAACGGCCTTGATTGATTTTCTTTTCTTTCTGCCTCCGTGACTTTACCGAAAGAAGCCCAAGGGTATAGTCGTATGGTGGCTTAGCGTGCTGCGCTATGAACCAGGCGACGCGAGTTGGACGTCTGTTCACAGCCAACATCGCTGAGGAATATCTCAATCAGTCTTTAAGATCAGTGCCTCGTGCGTTGTGTCAACATCGCCACTGGGGAGACAAAGGCGATCGGGCGTAGTGCTGGACACCCACCCCCTCGTTTGCCGTGACGGGAAACAGCACTTGACAGCGCTTGTCCAAACAGTCTGCGGAGGCTATATACGGGGGGACATTTGGCTTTGTATAGATGCACTGATAGAAAGATGCGTTTACAATGAACGTATGCATTTTGAACTTCTTCTTTGGTTCTTTCGGTAAAGTCACGTAGAATGAGAATAAAATAATAAATTGATACAATAAAATAACACAATAATATTCTCACATGTGAGAATATTATGTGAGAATATTATTGTGTTAATTTATTATTTTATTCTCATTCTACGTGACTTTACCGAAAGAACCAAAGAAGATAAATCCTTGCAGTCACGAAAGCTTTAAATCGCATGTTGAAATTCTTTCGCACTGTACGTAGCTAACGGTGCCAATCAGAGATGCGCGGGCGGGGGGGAGTGGGGTATGACAACAAACGAAACACACACACAAAAAAAAACGAATTCTAAAGACGCGAATTTTAAATGTGTACGATTTAAACGCGCGCAGCTCTGGTGGCTCCCTACTATCGGAATGGAAGAGCGTTCCAGACGGCCGCAGAAGCGCGTCTGAAAGCGCGCTCGCGATGATGCGGTGACCGCCGCCTTTGTTCGACGGCCCAGCAGCCAGAAGCCGTTGCTCGCTGCGGCGAGGATGAGCGAAGTTGCGCGCGACGTTGGTTTCGTGCTCATTGACGACATCGGCGAGGTACCGTGGTTCATTTCGCGGCGATCGATTTGCGCGTGCAGCGAGTTGCGACCTTGCGCTGTGTTCGTTCGGCAACCGGGGGCCACTGCAGCTCGGCGAGCACTGGACGGACAACGTGCAGTGCCCGTGCCGGAGAACACATTTATTGTTATTATTATTTCAAAGCCCATTTAACACAATAAGGCACGGTCCCCTGTCACGTGTTCCATTATTATTGATATCTCTATATTGAGGTATTGGATAAAGTTCCGCGCCGGTTGTGTGGATTTCACGACCATACTTCACCACGCTGGTTTGGCGTGTGTTCGTGAAGACCTTTTTTGCGTAACCCCGCCACAACCATTCTGGACAAGAGGCTCGTGACAGGCACGCAGCCCCGGAGTAACTGCGGTACAGAATCAGAATACTGATTTATTCGGTAAGAATCCGATGAGCTTATAAAGCTCTTTTCCACACATGTCCAGTCACTGGATGGAAGCCCCCCCCCCCCCCCCCCATATCAGCCACGTGTCCAGCGAGACGCGTAACAACAACACGTGCTCCGTGCACCCACGCGCACTGACCGCCGTGGTGAAGTATGGTCAACCTCCCCCGATAATCGACGGCGCTTTAAACCACAGCCGCCGGTGAATTCGTGTTCCACCGGCCTTGGGATCGGCTGAGAATGTGAACGAGCAGCGGCCGTACGCCGCCAGGCATCAAGGGGGACGTACAACCGATCGAGACGGAGCGCTGAGATCAATCCGCGTGGCAGCAGGTGCCAGGATTGTAACGTCTCGCGCTAACAGACAGCGCGCTGACCCACCAACAGCAGGACGCGATTGTGATCGCCACCATTCATCACCTGCCGCGTCTGTCTGTCTGCGCGTGTGTGTGTGGGGGGGGTGTGTGTGCGGTAGTGTAGCTGCGAACCACCAACACCCAGTGACGATCATCTGAACCCGGTCCTGCGTCTCCACTAGGTCGACTCAGCCTCAAATGAGTGCCTGACGCGATGTGTATACTGTTACACCACTCGGGAGACAAAGGCGGCCGGACGTGGCGCTGGCCACCCACCCACCCACCCTCTATTGTGCTTGCTAGCAGCACTTGGCCCCGACAGTCTGTTTAGGCTATACGGGGGATCTTTGTCTTTGTGAGCAGCGCACGTCTCCATGCTGTTCGATCGTCTTTGCTAGCCCGAGCGCATTACGGAAGTGCGCGGTTGCCACCTTCTCGATCGTAAACCCAAACCCGGACAGAGGTCTTGGTGAGCACGAGGTTTCATTTTTTTTCAATACTAAGCTATTTTTACTTGACCATCTAAGGCGCACTCAGTTATATACATATATAGCTTCTTTTTCTGAAGCGACCAGGCCCACAAATGATAGGTCAACGATGTGGCTTATCATCACGTGGAAATGTATATCAGCCAAAACGGGTGATTCTAAATGTGGAACGGAAACCACGGATACGCGCAAACTCCAAATATACGGCAGGCGTCAGGCTCGGGATCGAACCGACGACCTCCTGTAAACCAGGCGAGGTAGTTAACATCTCGTAGCCACCGTGGCGATGATGAGAGAGAGAGACACCGCAAACTCCAAATATACGGCAGGCGTCAGGCTCGGGATCGAACCGACGACCTCCTGTAAACCAGGCGAGGTAGTTAACATCTCCTAGCCACCGTGATGATGATGAGAGAGAGAGAGACACCGCAAACTACAAATATACGGCAGGCGTCAGGCTCGGGATCGAACCGACGACCTCCTGTAAACCAGGCAAGGTAGTTAACATCTCCTATCCACCGTGGCGCTACTGTGCGTTAGATCGCAATAAAGTTAAACGCGGCAATACCGGTGCCACATCTCAGTACGAATGGATTCCCGCTGGCACCTGACACAGAGATCGCGATTCCCGGACCGTACCGGGTCAAATCGGGACAGGTGGCAACCCTAGATAGCAGCATCGTCAAATCGCAGGATTGTGTGGAACGCCTTCCTTTAACCAGCAGTGGATCGACCATCGCTCACGATGATGAAGACGGTGGTGATGTCGGGTGGCGGAGGGTCTCACGACACTCATCTGGCGAGATCGCGTTTCAAGTTTACTTTGTTTAACCATGTGAGACTCTACGATACCAAGATGGGCGTCCCAATACCGTAACGACTCGAGCCATCAGAATCGAAATCTTTATTTGTCCCGGAGAAATCCGATGATCTGTGAAGCTCTTTTTTTCACAGATCTCCAGTCGGGGCGAATCAGAAAGTTCGTCTTCCAGTCTGGGGCTATGATTGCCGCTGTGTGAGTCGTCTAGCCTAGGGCCACCCCCAGTGGCAGCTGCCCCTGGGCATCAGTCTTCCAGTAGGGAGCGATGATTGCCGCAGCTTGTGTAGTCCAAATTGAGCCATTCATCTTTTCAAATCTGGACCGCTGAAATCGGCACACCACTGCCTACCTCTTGCGAACGACGTCTCGTGATCTTTAACGTTCGCTGTGCGACCGAAGCAGATGGCACAGAGACGTAATTGTCGTAGTATCATCATCACGATCAGCATCATGATCACCATCATCACGATCATCATTATCATGATTACCATCATCATCACGATCAACATCATCGTGATCACCATCTTCACGATCATCATCGACACCACCACCATCACCATCACGACCATCATCATCATCATCACGATCATCATCATCATCACGGTCGGAATCATCAGAATATTGTATTTAGACAACAGGAGGAATCCGATGCGCTATAAAGCTCTTGTTCACAGATGTCCAGCAGGGGCGGGTCAGCGATTTACAGCAACAAACAATACAACAACACCCCGTTAGGAGTGCGGAGTGGAGGAAAAGTAAGCAGGTTAATAAACACAAATAACAAATATAGCATATACAAGTTAACATTGCAGAAGTACATACATTGCACCTCCGATGAGCACGGTTGACTACGTACGGTGCGAACGAAGTTCAACACACACACATACACCTTCCTGACGATTCTTCAACTCTTAAAAGCAAGCTTGGGGCAGGGCAGCACAACAACAACAACAACCACAGCCGCGGACCGCACCAAAACAACAACAACAACAACACACAGTCCCTTGATTTAACAACAACAACAACAACATATACCCATATACAATCGAACCAATCGATCGAGTGTACGTCCTTTCGCCGTGAGCGCGTGCAGGTACGGTGGCGTGGATCTGAGCGCGGGCACCCGACGCAAAAACGCGACCCGCGAGACCACGGCGACGCTCAAGGCGTGGCTCTACGAACACCGCAAGAACCCGTACCCCACCAAGGGCGAGAAGATCATGCTGGCCATCATCACCAAGATGACCCTCACGCAGGTCTCCACGTGGTTCGCGAACGCGCGCCGGCGTCTCAAGAAGGAGAACAAGATGACGTGGTCGCCGCGGAGCAGGCCAGGCGAGGAGAGCGGAGGGAAAGACGAATGCAGGAGGGAGGTGGACCGCGAGCAGCAGCAGCAGCACGAGGAGGATGAGGAACAGGAGGCTGCGGTGGTGGTTGACAAGAGAGGAGGAGTGGTGAAGTGTTTTGTGTCAGGTGAGTGAGTGAGTGAGTCTGCCTGTCTGTCTGTGTATGTGTGTGTGGCCAACCACCCCCATCGTGTGCCGTTCCGGCCTTCGTAGGTGCTCGCTAACAGCACTTGCCCCTACAGCCTAAGGCTATACGGGGGATCTTTGTCTGCGTGTGTCCGTCTCTCTGTCTGTGTGGGTCGCCGCAGGGCAGCGGTTAGCGCGCTACGAACCCGGCCACCCGAGTTCGATTCCCGCTCAAGGCCGACACCGGTGATGATTATCTGAATCGGACCTGTGCCTCTACTAGGTCGACTTAGCCTCAAATGAGTACCTGGTGCGGTGTGTAAACATCGTCACTGGGGAGACAAAGGCGGCCGGGCGTGATGTTGGCCACCCACACCCTCGTGTGCCGTGCCTGCCTTCATAGATGCGCTAACAGCACTTGCCCCTACAGTCTGTTAAGGCTGCACGGCGGATCTGTGTGTGGGTATGCAGGTGTGTGGATATGCAGGTGTGTGGATATGCAGGTGTGTGGGTATACAGGTGTGTGGGTATGCAGGTGTGTGGATATGCAGGTGTGTCGGTATGCAGGTGTGTGGGTATGCAGGTGTGTGGGTATACTGGTGTTTGGGTATACAGGTGTGTGGGTATACAGGTGTGTGGGTATGCAGGTGTGTAGGTATACAGGTGTGTGGGTATGCAGGTGTGTGGGTATGCAGGTGTGTGGATATACAGGTGTGTGGTATGCAGGTGTGTGAGTATGCAGGTGTGTGGGTATGCAGGTGTGTCGGTATGCAGGTGTGTGGGTATGCAGGTGTGTGGGTATGCAGGTGTGTGGATATGCAGGTGTGTGGGTATACAGGTGTGTGGGTATGCAGACCCGACCCAGGATGATAACGATGGCGATAATGCACTTGATGGTGAAGAATAAGGAGCTGGTCATGGCGACGATGATGATGACATAACGATGATATGAGTAACAACCGTGGTGACTATGACGATGATATGAATAACAACCGTGGTGACTATGACGATGCAAACGATGATCACCATTAGGATGGTATATCGTCAAACTGTTAGGTCAAGCTGATAACTCATTAACCCAAACTCCAGTCCTCTCGGCCCCACCCCCACCACCACCCCCACCATGCTCCCTCCGTCTTTACGCGGTCACAAATTTGCTCCCCATTCAGCTCGTGGCAGGCTTCACGCGCCCGATGATTTTTCAACATGATCCATGTGCCGCGCTCAGCAATTAACGATGACTGCGTAAACGTTGCCGATTCTCGTTAAGATTGAGACCTCAGTGTGCGTGGTGTACACGTGTTCCGTATGTCTGTGCGTTCCGTGTGTGTGTGTGTACACGTGTACTGTGTGCGATTGTGTACACGCGTTCCACGTGTTCGCACGTGACGCAGACAGCGTCAGTTGCTCAGCGCGCCACGTGGGACGTGTTTAACAATCATCGGGCGCGTGCAGCGGAGAACGAGTTGATTTGTATTTGAAAGCGTCGGAGTAAAGTGGTAGACGCGGAAATAAGGAGCGCAGTGGTGGGTGGCCCGCGAGGACTCTGACCATGATGATGATGATGATAACGCTAATATGCGAATTGTGTTCTGACATTCAGAAATCAGATTAGACTGGAGGAATCCGATGAGCTGTGAAGCTCTTTTTAACAGACGTCCATGAAGGGGGTGGGTCAGAATGTTACAACAACAAACGATACAAAAAAAACACGATAGGAGTGCACAATCGAGGAAAGGTAAGCACAAATATAACACGTTTTTTTTATTTTACCATGTAAAGCCGACTGAATTATTAGCTTCTTTTTCACAAGCGAACTGGCCACAAATGACAGCTCTTACCAACACGCATCGAAACCACTACCCTGAAAAATGAAATAAATAAAAATCACACGTTTTATACCAAGTAATAATTTTTAAAAATTCACCGCATTCCAAACACTTTATTTCCTTGAACTTTCACCTTTGCATCCCTTCTGCTTCCCCTACTACTCCCTCCCCCCCTCCCTCGCACCCCCCTCTGCCCCCTCCTCTACCCCCTCCTCTACCCCCTCCTCTACCCCCCTCCTCTACCCCCTCCACTCCCCTGCCTCGCCCCCCCCTCGTTGCCCTACCCCCTCGGTAACATCAATTCCCTGCACAGCTGAGAGACATTCCTGCGTTCTTATGACAGCCTTCTCCGGGCCAAGGAAGTGATTACGAACTCGCCGCTAATCGCTTTAGATATAAGGAGACATCAAACAGAACTCACACACACACACACGTGTGTACACACACACATATATAAACATACATGTGTGTACCATACACACGCAAATATCTCCCGTATAGCCTTAACAGGCTGACACGGCACACGAGGGGTGGGTGGCCAACACCACGCCGGGCCGTCTTTGTCTCCCGAGTGGCGATGTTTACACACCGCACCAGGTACTAATTTGAGGCTGAGTCGACCTAGAGGAGGCCCAGGACCGGTTCAGATAATCGTCACCTGTGTTGGCCGTGAGCGCGAATCGAACCCGGGTAGCCGGGTTCGTAAGGCAGCGCGCTAACCGCTACACTACCGCTCCCCATAAATGCACCCTACACACACACACCCTACACACACACACCCTACACACACCATACACACATCCTACACACACACACACCCTACACACACACGCATCCTACACACACACACCCTACACACACCATACACACACGCACCCTACACACACCATACACACACGCACCCTACACACACACACAGACCTTAAACACACACACCCTACACACACACCCCACACACACACGCACCCTACACACACGCGCACATATACATGTTCCGACAAGACAAAGATCCCCCGTATAGCCTCAACAGACTACTGGGGAAAGTGGCCGTCGTCGATCACCTACTCAAGCCAAAACGATCGGCCGTCTTTGTCTCCCCCCGTGTTGATGTTTAAACGTTGCGCTTGGCTACTTTACTCCTTTAAGGGCGAGTGGGCGCGTGACAACCTTCACACACGCTACCCATCCGGCTCACGTGACTCTAAAAGGTCAAGGTCAAGAGGTCGTAGACGGCAGCCACACCGCAACTCGCCATCGCTTCCTTCCTTCTGCCAGCTCCCATAGTTTTGAGGCACGCGCGTCAGAGCATCGCCACACCGCAATGGGACATTCCTCCAGGACACCTATAATGTGTTTGAGAACTTTAAAAAAGAAAATTCGTGACTGCAGGCAATTCATATTCGTGGTTCTTTCGGTAAAGTCACGTAGATAGAAGACACATTTTTTTTTTAATTGAAAGCAAAAAAAAACCCACGACGTTTCGATCGCAACGCAAGCGGCCTTCTTCAGGTGGAGAGAAAAAAACGCTTGTGTTGCGATCGAAACGTCGTGGATTTTTGTTGCTTTAAATTTTGAGTTTTTGTCTTCAATCTACGTGACTTTGCCGAAGGAACCAAGAATACATAAATGTGTTGTTTATAATTGTTCTATCTCTCACGATTGCCCAAAGCCCCTCCCCCCCACCCACCCAAAAAAACCGACAAAGCGGCCAGCAACATAAAGCCACTCTCGGAAGTGAATAGCTTCTTGAATTGAGCGAGTTTACACCGCGACATATAAACGCGCGTCTTGGGGGTTGTGGGTGAGTGACGCGTGAAGGGACGATTCACGACTCCTTCCTTCCATCTGATCCATCCGCGCAACCAAAACAATAGTAATACGTAAGTTATTGTTTTTGTTACACATCCCTTCTGGGAGAGCATCATTTCAACGACGCTGATTTTGTAAGAACTTTGGAAAAAGAGATGGCGATGATGACGAGAGGAGGGAATTGCAAAGTAGATCGGTGCGGGGAAAATATCAGAAAGGGAAACGTCGTGACGTGCAGTGTGGTGAGTGAGTGGTGAGTTGGTGAGTGGGTGAGTGGGTGAGTTGGTGAGTTAGTGAGTGGGTGAGTGGGTGGGTTAGTGAGTGAGTTAGTGAGTGGGTGAGTTGGTGAGTGAGTGGGTGAGTTAGTGAGTGGGTGAGTTAGTGAGTGGGTGAGTTGGTGAGTGGGTGAGTGAGTGAGTGGGTTAGTTGGTGAGTGGGTGAGTCAGTGAGTGGGTGAGTTAGTGAGTGGTGAGTGAGTTGGTGAGTTGGTGAGTGAGTTGGTGAGTGGGTGAGTTGGTGAGTGGATGAGTGAGTTAGTGAGTGGGTGAGTTAGTGAGTGGGTGAGTTGGTGAGTGGGTGAGTGAGTGAGTGGGTGAGTGAGTTAGTGGGTGAGTAAGTGAGTGGGTGAGTTGGTGAGTGGGTGAGTTGGTGAGTGGTGAGTTAGTGGGTGAGTGGGTGAGTTAGTGAGTGGGTGAGTTAGTGAGTGGGTGAGTTGGTGAGTGGTGAGTTAGTGGGTGAGTGGGTGAGTTAGTGAGTGGGTGAGTTAGTGAGTGGGTGAGTTGGTGAGTGGTGAGTTAGTGAGTGGGTGAGTTGTTGAGTGAGTTAGTGTGTGGGTGAGTTAGTGAGTGGATGAGTGAGTCAGTGAGTGGGTGAGTTGGTGAGTGGGTGAGTTGGTGAGTGAGTGGGTGAGTTAGTGAGTGGGTGAGTTGGTGAGTGGGTGAGTTGGTGAGTGGATGAGTGAGTTAATGAGTGGGTTAGTTGGTGAGTGGGTGAGTTAGTGAGTGGTGAATTAGTGAGTGAGTGGGTGAGAGAGTTAGTGAGTGGGTGAGTTGGTGAGTGAGTTAGTGTGTGGGTGAGTTAGTTAGTGGGTGAGTGGGTGAGTTAGTGAGTGAGTGGATGAGTGAGTGGGTGAATGAGTGGGTGAGTGAGTGGCTGAGTGAATGAGTGAGTGGGTGAATGAGTGGATGCGTTAGTGAGTGGGTGAATGAGTGAGTGGGTGTATGAGTGGGTGAGTGAGTGGGTTAGTTGGTGAGTGAGTGGGTGAGTTAGTGGGTGAGTTAGTGAGTGGGTGAGTTGGTGAGTGGGTGAGTTGGTGAGTGGATGAGATGGTGAGTGGGTGAGTGAGTGAGTGAGTGGGTGAGTGAGTTGGTGGGTGAGTTAGTGAGTTGGTGAGTGGGTGAGTGGTGAGTTAGTGGGTGAGTGGGTGAGTGGGTGAGTTTGTGAGTGGGTGAGTTAGTGAGTGGGTGAGTTGGTGAGTGGGTGAGTTAGTGAGTGGTGAGTTAGTGGGTGAGTGGGTGAGTTAGTGAGTGGGTGAGTTAGTGAGTGGGTGAGTTAGTGAGTTGGTGAGTTGGTGAGTGGTGAGTTAGTGGGTGAGTGAGTGGGTGAGTTGGTGAGTGGGTGAGTTAGTGAGTGGGTGAGTTGGTGAGTGAGTTAGTGTGTGGGTGAGTTAGTCAGTGGATGAGTGAGTTAGTGAATGGGTGAGTTGGTGAGTGGGTGAGTTGGTGAGTGAGTGGGTGAGTGGGTGAGTTAGTGAGTAGGTGAGTTGGTGAGTGGGTGAGTTGGTGAGTGGATGAGTGAGTTAGTGAGTGGGTTTGTTGGTGAGTGGGTGAGTTAGTGAGTGGTGAGTTAGTGAGTGAGTGGGTGAGTGAGTTAGTGAGTGGGAGAGTGGGTGAGTTGGTGAGTGAGTTAGTGTGTGGGTGAGTGAGTTAGTGGGTGAGTTTGTGAGTGAGTGAGTGGATGAGTGAGTGGGTGTATGAGTGGGTGAGTGAGGGTGTTGTAATCTGCTGTTTGTAATTCGCTACCATTTCGGCCACCCGAATTCGATTCACGTTTACCTTGTTGTACACTTTATGAGCATCACCACTGGGAAGACAAAGGCGGTCGGTGGTGCTGCTGGAAACACCACGCCTTCTTGCGCCGTGCCCTGGCGGTTTTAATAGGTGCTCGCCAATATCCCCTTGGTCCAGTGGTCTAATTCGACATTTGGATTCTTCACGGCGGACTCGAAGTTTCCTCCGACGTTATTCGGGAAAGACAAACAAACACAACGAGTTAGCCATTGCTTTCCGGCGTCACGGTCTAAAATTTGTCACGATTGATTAATCACTCGCTAATGACTTAATTGGGGGCGGGGGGGGGGAGCTACGTGACCACGTGGCCCCCCTACCGGCAGACCGAAGTGCACTTTGCCTGCCCGCACTGCGCCGCACAGGGGCAGCTGCCACTGGGCGGCGGTGGGGCGGTGGGTGGGGGGTGGGTGGATTGAGGGGTCGGGGGGGGGTTGGATGGGGGGGGTGGTGGGGGGGGGTCCTCGAAATGCACTGCATGGCAGGCGTGTGCTGTAAACATAGCGGTGATGGTGGTGATCGTGGTGGTGATGGTGGTGGTGGTGAGGGTGGTAGCAGCGGTGGTGGTGATGGTGGGGATAGCGGTGGTAGTGATGGTGGTAGTGGTGGTGATGATGGTGGTAGCAGCGGTGGTGGTGATGGTGGGGATAGCGGTGGTAGTGATGGTGGTAGCAGCGGTGGTGGTGATGGTGGGGATAGCGGTGGTAGTGATGGTGGTGGTGATGATGGTGGTTGCAGTGGTGGTGGTGATGGTGGGGATAGCGGTGGAAGTGATGGTAGTGATGGTAGTGATGGTAGTGGTGGTGGTGATAGCAGCGGTGGTGGTGATGGTGGGGATAGCGGTGGTAGTGATGGTGGTAGCAGCGGTGGTGGTGATGGTGGTAGCAGCGGTGGTAGTGATGGTGGTAGTGGTGGTGATGATGGTGGTTGCAGTGGTGGTGGTGATGGTGGGGATAGCGGTGGTAGTGATGGTAGTGATGGTAGTGGTGGTGGTGATAGCAGCGGTGGTGGTGATGGTGGGGATAGCGGTGGTGGTGGTGATAGCAGCGGTGGTGGTGATGGTGGGGATAGCGGTGGTAGTGATGGTGGTAGCAGCGGTGGTGGTGATGGTGGGGATAGCGGTGGTAGTGATGGTGGTGGTGGTGATGGTGGAGATAGCGGTGGTAGTGATGGTAATAGTGGTGGTGGTGATAGCAGCGGTGGTGGTTGTCTCTCAACAGACCATAACGGTGAGAAAGACCACGGCAAGGGGCACGTTCTGAGCGACCTGGAAGACCTCGACGACGTCGAGTCGGACCACCTGGGTGACGACGAGCTGGAGGAAGGTGGCCACCTCCAAGCGAAGCGCTTCCAAAAGTCCCAATGCAAGAACTACCCACCGCTAGCGGTGGTGGACGCATCATCCATCAACACCTCCTCCAACACGTCCACCACGAACAACAACAACAGCAACAGCGGCGGCGGCGGCGGCAACATTTCCATCAACATCATCAGCGGCGGCGGAGGAGGCAGCGGCGTTCAGCAGACTTCCGAAGGCATAAAAAGTGTGTTCGCTTTGAGTTGTGGCGAGCAACAAGACAGTCTGCAACTTTATGACTCGAGTGATCAGCAGCAGCAGCAGCAGCAACATCAGCAACATCACCACCACCACCACCACCATCAGCACCATCACCAGCATCATCAGGTGGTCAGTAGCGATGCCAAGTCACTGTTGCCGATTGTGTCGGAGAAGCCACGAATTTGGTCGCTGGCTCACACGGTCTCGAGCTGCGACTCCAAATACCCATCGTGTGCAGCGCTTCAGCAGTTGCAGCAGCAACAGCAGCAGCAGCAGCAACAGTCGCCTGTGAGCGGCTCGCAGGCAACAGCAGGCACCCTGCTGCAGAGACATCAAAAGTTCCACGCAACCTTGTCTCAGTTGTCGCCGCCGTGTTCCGACCCCGTCGGCTCGTGGCGACAAGTTGCCTCGGCCGCGTCTCCCGAGCAACTTTTGTTGAAAGCAGCCGAGCAGAACGGACTGGGGTCCTACCTTCTCGCTCAGCAGCAGCAGCAGCTGCAGCAACAGCAGCTGCAGCAGCAGCAACAGCAGCAGCAGCAACAACAACAGTTGGCACAGGTTCAGCACGGGCTGTTGTCGAGGGCGAGTTGCCAAATGTCAGGACTGCACATGGGAGCTCAACAGCATCAAGAGTTGACTTCCGCGAAGAGCCAAGCGGCCGCCAATTCACATCGCCACTCGACAGAAGTTGATGCGATCAGAAGTAAGATTCAGGGAACCGAGACGGGGTTCGCCTGGTCCGCTAGACCCTAGTGGTTCTCCCCGCGTGTCTTAAAGACAAAGGTCACCCGAACACAATGCAGGTTTTTGGTTTTTGAAGGGTCGGGGGGTGGTCAGATCGCGTGAATAGATAAATGTGTCGTTAAACCCGTCACCACCCGACACAGCCAATTCATAAGTTATGTCGCGTGGGTGGAACGTGCCAATTCGTTACTAGCACAGCAGCACACCGTTGTGGTTGGAGGCCATAATCCACAACACTTGTTGACATTCGCGCGACCTTACTGCCGCCGCCCCCCACCCCACCTCAACCACTAAAAAAAAACCCCATTTAATACGGACGATATTGGTCGGAGGAAGCCGACTACGCGTCACCCCGTATAGCCTACGTAGATTGTTGGGGCAGAGTGCCTGTGGGCGATCGCTTTCAAAGTCCGGCCCGCAGCGAAATGCGGGGCGAAAATGCCATCGGCCGGAGTTCGATTCATCGCTCGCGGCTAACGTCGCCGGCGTTTATCCCAGCCGGTCCTGGGTCACGCACGCAGGTTGAACTTCTTTCGCACCGTACGTAGCCGACTCGGCCTTGAACGAGTACGTGGTGGCACGTGTACAGTCGCATTGCGCTGGGGAGACAAAGGCGGCCGAGCGTTGTGGGGGCCGCACCAAATCCTCGTGTGCCGTGCCGGCCTTAATGGGTGCTCGCTAACAGCACTTGCCCTAACAGTCTGTTAAGGATATACGGGGGATCTTTGTGTGTGTGTGTGCGTGAGTGCGTGTCGGTCAAAGCTCCCTAAATGTCGCCAATGTGGATTGTCCAATTAAAAGTGTTGTTAGCGAGCACCTATTGAGAATATTATACTCTATAGTGTGTAAGTGTGTCTGTGTGTTTATACGTGCGAGTGTGTGTGTGTGTTTGTGTGTGTTCGTGTCGTGGTGTGCGTCTGTATGTATGTAATGTGTGTAAACGTGTTTTTGTGTGTCAGTCCTGCGGCGTTTGCGTGTTTGTCTTTGTTTTGTGTTTGTGTGTCACTGTTGTTTGTGTTGTGTGTGTGTGTGTTTCCGTGTCTATCAGTGGTGTTCTGTGTGTATGGGATTGTGTTTGTGTATTTGTGTGTGTGTATATCTTTGCGTGTGTGTGTATGTGTGTATCGTGGTGTGCGTTTGTCTTTGTGTATGGATGTGTATTTATGTATGCCTGTGTACTCGTGTTGTGGGTTTGTATTCGTGTAATTTGGGGCACGTGCCCCAAAGGTCTGTTAGGGCTTTATGGGGGTATGTGTGTGTGTATATATTCCGTGTGTATTTGTGTATGTGTGTGTATGTGTGTGGAGGCGTGTATGAACCTAGCTTGGCCAACCCCTCGATCAATTCAGCCAAAAAATGAGCATCACCTTGCGCTGTGGTGGTTAGTTACATGTGGTAACGAACTGCGTTAGAGAGACAAAGGCGGTCGGGTAGTCAATACACAACACGTTAATTGAGTCAAACCTGAACCAGTCTTAGCAATGTGTCGTCAGAGGCTTTAATAGGTGCACGCTAACAGCACTTGCCCCCAACAGTCTGTGTAGGCTACACGGGGGATCTTTGTCTTTGTGTATCATTACAAGCCTTATAGGCATATCTTAGTGTATTGACATGCATACGTACGCATATATATACAAACATACGTTACTAATGTTTGCTAAAAAAAGAATAGTTAATCATTTTAATTTAAAATTGAAACAGTTACGGATACGACAGTTAACTTATGCTCCGCTAGTTTTAATAATATTGTTTGACAAATATAAATTTCTTTTAAATATCTACGTGCCAATAATAGTAGCATTTGCAATCAAGCATACAATAGCAATGTACATTTTTAACGTGGCTTGTACATAAATTCGACACAATATTATAGTGTGTATTAAACGTGTTTCATTGTCACCGTAGTCACCTGATTATAAGTCGCTCCGGAAAGTAAGACGCATCTCCCAAGCGTGCTGTCAATACGTGAGTCGTGCAAAACCTGGTTCCTACACACACACGCGCACGCACTTACCGGATAATGAGACTCACACACTTACCGGATAATAAAACTCACACACTTACCGGATAATAAGACGCACACACTTAACGGATAATAAGACGCACACACTTACCGGATAATAAGACTCACACACGGGATGATAAGACTAACGCACTTACCGGATAATGAGACTCACTCACTTACCGGATAATAAGACGCACACACTTACCGGATAATGAGACGCACAAACTTACCGTAAAATAAGACGCACACACTTACCGGATAATAAGACTCACACACTTACCAGATAAAAAGACTCACGCACTTACCGGATAATGAGACTCACTCACTGGATAATAAGACGCCCACACTTACCGGATAATAAGACGCACAAACTTACCGGAAAATAAGACGCACGCACTTACCGGATAATAAGACTCACACACTTTCCGGATAATAAGACTCACGCAATTACCGAATAATAAGACTCACGCAATTACCGGATAATAAGACTCACGTACTTACCGGATAATGAGACTCACGCACTTACCGGATAATAAGACTCACACACTTACCGGATAATAAGACTCACACCGCATAATAAAACTCACACACCGGATAATAAGATTCACACACTTACCGGATAATAAGACTCATGCACTTACCGGATAATAAGACTCACACCGGATAATAAGACTCACACACTTACCGGATAATAAGACTCGCACCGGATAATAAGACTCACACACTTACCGGAAAATAAGACTCACACACTTACCGGACAGTAAGACTCATACACTTAGCGGATAATAAGAATCACTCACTTACCGGATAAAAAGACGCACACACTTACCGGATAATAAGACTCACACCGGATAATAAAACTCATGCACTTATCGGATATTAGGACTCACTTACAAACCGGATCATAAGACTCACCCACTTACCGGATAATAAGACTCACACCGGATAATAAGACTCACGCACTTACCGGATAATAAGACTCACACACTTAATGGATAATAAGACTCACACACTTACCGGATAATAAGACGCACACACTTACCAGATAATAAGACTCACGCACTTACCGGATAAAAAGACTCACGCACTTACCGGATAATGAGACTCACTCACTTACCGGAAAATAAGACGCACACACTTACCGGATAATAAGACGCACAAACTTACCGGAAAATAAGACGCACACACTTACCGGATAATAAGACTCACACACTCACTGGATAATAAGACGCACGCACTTTCCGGATAATAAGACTCATGCACTTACCGGATAATAAGACTCACACCGGATAATAAGACTCACACACTTACCGGAAAATAAGACTCACACACTTACCGGATAGTAAGACTCATACACTTAGCGGATAATAAGAATCACTCACTTACCGGATAAAAAGACGCACACACTTACCGGATAATAAGACTCACACAGGATAATAAGACTCATGCACTTATCGGATATTAGGACTCACTTACAAACCGGATCATAAGACTCACCCACTTACCGGATAATAAGACTTACACCGGATAATAAGACTCACGCACTTACCGGATAATAAGACTCACACACTTAATGGATAATAAGACTCACACACTTACCGGATAATAAGACTCACACACTTACCGGATAATAAGACTCACACACTTACCGGATAAAAAGACTCACGCACTTACCGGATAATGAGACTCACTCACTTACCGGATAATAAGACGCACACACTTACCGGATAATAAGACGCACAAACTTACCGGAAAATAAGACGCACACACTTACCGGATAATAAGACTCACGCACTTACCGGATAATAAGACGCACGCACTTTCTGGATAATAAGACTAACACACTTACCGGATAAGAAGACTCACACCGGATAATAAGACTCACTCACTTACCGGATAATAAGACTCACGCACATACCGGATAATAAGACTCACTCACTTACCGGATAATAAGACTCACATACTTAGCGGATAATAAGACTCACAAACTTACCGGATAATTAGACTCACACACTTAGCGGATTTTAAGACACAGGCACTTACCGGATAATAAGACTAACGCACTTAGCGGATAATAAGACACACGCACTTACCGGATAATAAGACACATTCTTAGCGGATATTACGACACAGGCACTTACCGGATAATAAGACCAGCACACATACCGGAAAATAAGACTCACACCGGATAATAACACTCACTCACTTAGCGGATAATAAGACTCATACACTTACCGGATAATAAGACTCACGCACTTACCGGATAATAATACTCACACACTTACCGGATAATAAGACTCACACCGGATAATAAGACTCACGCAATTACCAGATAATAAGACTCACACGGATAATAAGACTCACGCACTTACCGGATAATAAGACTCACACCGGATAATAAGACTCACACATTTACCGGATAATAAGACACACGCACTTACCGGATAATAAGACTTACACCAGATAATAAGACTCACACACTTACCAGATAATAAGACTCACACTGGATAATAAGACTCACACACTTACCAGATAATAAGACTCACACCGGATAATAAGACTCACGCACTTACCGGATAATAAGACTCACACCGGATAATAAGACTCACACACTTACCGGATAATAAGACTCACACGCATGCCGGATAATAAGACTCACACATTTACCGGATAATAAGACACACGCACTTATCGGATAATAAGACTTACAGCAGATAATAAGACTCACACACTTACCAGATAATAAGACTCACGCACTTACCAGATAATAAGACTCACGCACTTACCGGATCATAAGACTCACCCACTTACCGGATAATAAGACTTACACTGGATAATAAGACTCACACACTTACCAGATAATAAGACGCACACATTTACCGGATAATAAGACACACGCACTTACCGGATAATAAGACTTATTACGGATAATAAGACTCACACACTTACCAGATAATAAGACTCACGCACTTACCGGATAATAAGACTCACACATTTATCGGATAATAAGACACACGCACTTACCGGATAATAAGACTTACACCGGATAATAAGACTCACTCACTTACCGGATAATAAGACTCACGCACTTACAGGATAATAAGGCTCACACACTTACCGGATAATAAGACTCAAACACTTACCGGATAATAAGACTCACTGACATACCGGATAATAAGAATCACATACTTACCGGATAATAAGACTCACCCACTTACCGGATAATAAGACTTACACCGGATAATAAGACTCACACACTTACCAGATAATAGGAATCACGCATTTACCGGATAATAAGACTCACACCGGAAAATAAGACTCACACGCATACCGGATAATAAGACTCACGCACTTACCGGAAAATAAGACTCACACATTTACCGGATGATAAGACTCAAACACTTACCGGATAATAAGACTCATTCACATACCGGATAATAAGACTCACATACTTACTGGATAATAAGACTCATACATTTACCGGATAATAAGACACACGCACTTACCGGATAATAAGACTTACACCGGATAATAAGACTCACACACTTACCAGATAATAAGACTCACGTACTTACCGGATAATAAGACTCACACCGGAAAATAAGACTCACACACTTACCGGATAATAAGACGCACACACTTACTGGATAATAAGACTCACACGCATACCGGATAATAAGACTCACACATTTACCGGATAATAAGACACACGCACTTACCGGATAATAAGACTTACACCGGATAATAAGACTCACACACTTACCACATAATAAGACTCACGCACTTACCAGATAATAAGACTCACGCACTTACCGGATCATAAGACTCACACACTTACCGGATAATAAGACTCACTTACCAGATAATAATACTCACACCGGATAATAAGACTCACTCACT